GGGTCAAAACCAGAGAGCCAGCCCGGTGCGGGGCGGCGGGGCGGGGACGGGCTGTGGTCGCGCTGCCCCCCACCCGGCCACGGCCAAAGTCGTCCACGCTTCCCGCAGGCGGCGGAGGACGTGGAGTCCCGGGGCTGGAGAGGCGCAGACGGCCGGGACGCAGCGCGAAGTTTGTGTGCGCGCTCCGGGGCCCGGGGTGGAGAAGCGCAGAGGCCGCGACCCGCCCAGCTGGTCCTCGGGGCGGGGAGCTGCGGCCTTGGGAGGAGGGGCGTCGGCCGAGGCCACACACCGGACACCGCCCCTCCTCGGAGCCGCGCCTTTCCTCCACCTGCAGCCCTGCCGACTCCTTCAGGTCTGTGTTCTCGGACCTTCTTCACACCCCACTCCCTTGCTTCTGCAGAAACCGAACAAGAACTGAGATCTCCAGTTACGCTCTCCCCTAAACAATGTTTTCTACTGGGATTTTGATTTCACCTTTTCTGTCTTTTTTTCAGGTGAAGTCTTCAGTATCTCACTTGCAAGGAAGAAAGCGCGGCTTGATTGCCTGCAAAGGTGTTAACCTTCCTTTTCAAGCCTCCTCCTGCCTCAGGAATGGCCAAATGTTGATGGGCACTGCTGATCCACTCTGAGATTCTTCTCAAACATCTCGGGCAAATTTAGATGCTCCACATTATTTATATTGTTAAAGAATTTCCTATGAGGGCTCTCATCTGAAACTATGTGTGAGAAGCAAAGTGTCAAACTTTCAAAATAACTTTTTAAATTACTTAAGGGGAGATATTAGTGATCGATTCTTCTACCTGTGCACACCATTCCATCGCCTCACACACATATCCCTCAAACTCACTATCCTAAAGATTTTCTGTTCTCCCTGAGCATAAAAACCACCTAGACAATTATTTTTAAATATGGGTGCTTAACTCATGCGGCTTCAGAATTCTTGCCTTCAAGGATCAGCTTGGTTTCACCCTCTCCAAAATCGACTTGTGTGTTCTCCTGGCAGTCCATGGTATGTTCAAGACCCTTCTCCAGCACCACAACTCAAAGGCATTCGTTGAAGCTTGTCTAACAAATTTTGGGCACGTGACCAGGAGGGACCAGTCTTTGGAGAAGTACATCATACTTGGAAAGGCGCAGGGACAGCGTGGGAAAGGAAGGCCTCAGATGAGATGGATTGTCTGGGGTAACGGGGATAGTTGTGTCAGAAATAGCGAGACAGGCTCAGAATAGGTCAGAGTTCAGAGCTATTATACATAGGGTCGCTATGAGTCGCAGGCAACTTAATGACACATAACAACAACAACCCAATGCATTCTAATTTTAAAATATCAGATGTGGTGGTGCTGGTGATGTTGTGCCTTCAAGCCAAAACTGACCCATAGCTGGCCATCCAGTGGGTTTTCAGAGGCAGCAAACAGCACAGGAGAGAGTGCACACCCTTCTCCACTGCAACAGCTGGTGGATCCCAAACCAAAACATTGCCTTTGGGATTGCAGCGCTCTCTACCGCTGAGATTTAAAGCTACCGCTCTAGCAATCACTAATCTCTCATAACAAGACAATCTCTATGCAAATGTTCATAGTAGTTTTAAAGCAAGAACTGGAAATAAAGCAGCTATCAATCAGTAAATATATTTTAAAATGCATATTTTAAATAAGTAATATTCAAACAAAAAGCAAGACACCAAGTATAATGTAACATCATAAAACCTCAAATGCATTTATTAAGTAAAATAAATCAGAATATATATAATTATTACACTTGTAAACATAATGTCTAGACAAATCAAACCTATAGACAAAGAAACCACATCCAAGAATGCCTGGAACTTTAGGTGGAGTTAAGCATTGATAAAACAATAAACCATGTAGGGGTAATTAAAGTTTTATGGCTAGACTGTGGGAGAAATCATTATTATGCATTTAAAGAGAATTCATTTTATCTTTTTCAAAAGATGAAAAAAGTTGAAAGGATAGCATTACCTTATTTTAAGACTTGAAACAATGTTACCATAATCAAGGAAGCTTAACATTGTAAAACAAGTCAGCCAATGAGATAGCCTGAGAGAGAATAGCTATGATGCCTGTGTGTGTGGAAGACTTGTATGGAGACTTTCAGGAGCCCTGGTGACCACTCTCCAGATTGAGCAGAACTGTCCCATTGGATTCTCTGTGGAAACAGAGTGTATCCTCGTCCTGCAATGACGAAGATGGTGGGTTAAAGCCACTGGTCTCTTAGTTAACACCTCAGATGCCTTAACCACAGCACCACTGGAGGCTCTCAGTTAGTCCCTCTCAGTTCAACTCAACACACTGCAGGCAAGTCAGAACCAACTCACAGCTGATTCTTCAGTGAGTTTCCCAGGGCTGTCTACACTGTGGCAGGAGGGTGTAAATCTCTCTCCCACAGAGTTATTTTACTGGTGGATTTGAACCACCAGAGAGGCACTCTGTTTAGCTTAGCAGCACAACTCTGTGGGGACTAAACTTCCAGAGCTCCCAATTAGTTAGTTGGCAAATGCAAATTAAATTTACTATGAAATGCCCTTAAGCAACGATTTGAATGGTTAAAATGTAAACTGTTGATCATCTGAGTGTTGATATACCTATAGGGCAACTGGAAGTCTAATACTATGCTCTTGGGAATGCAAAATAGTACAACCACTTTAGAAAACTATGTGGTCATTTCTTAAAACTCAAGATAAACCTGCATCTACAACTACTCCAACCTTTCTACTTTGGGTATGCATCTGTGAGATGTGTGTAAAATTTCATACATATAGAAATTTATATACGTACGCATGCTCAAGATGGTGAGGATAGCTTAGAACCTTATACAGGATAGGGCAAGGTTCATCTCTGTGGTTCATAGGGTCCCTGTGAGTGCTACTGGACTCTGTAGTATTTAACAACTACAACAATATGCATACTTGAAATTTAATAACACGTTTAATTGTGTCCATTCCAAACTAGGTTATCCAACAGAATGCAAACAGTATAAACAATACAACAACATCATTAATATAATACTGGAGTAAAATCTTGCTGAAAATGTTTTCGAAATGCTACGAGGTCTACTTAAGACAGGGAACTACTATGAATTCAAGCTGGATTCAGCAGCAGTGTTGGAACAAGGCCTATCACTGATGATGTCAGATGGACGTTGGCGGAGAGTAGACAATACCAGAAAAATGCTTCCTTGTGTTGATTACCTATGGAAAGGCATTCTACTGTGTAGACTATAATAAGTTATGAGTAAAACTGAGAAGAATAGGAATTCCAGAACACTTAATTGTGCTTATTTGAAACCTTTACACAGGCCAAAAAACAATCATTTGAACAGAAGGAGGGTGTCCTGCTTGATTTAAAATCCAGAAAGATGAGGATCTTTATCCAGAAAGATAAAGGTTGTACCATTTATCCTTCTCTTTTTCAACCTACTTTCGAGGAACATAATATAAGAAACTGGACCATATGAAGAAGAATAGGACATTAGACATGGAGAGAGATTTATTACCACCTACATTATGCAGATGACACAGCCTTGCTTGCAGAAAGTGAAGACTGACACATTCGCTGATGAAGATCTACGATTACAGCCTTCAACACCCAGGAAGAATTGCCAGGAGTGCTCTGGGACTCAGGTCTGTTCAAGGACAATCTTTGACATCAGGAAAGGCTTGTGGAGATCTCCAAGCAACACAGATGCTGAAGGAAACAAGGACTGTCCTCTAAAACCAACAGAGAGAGCCTTTCCCTTGAGCTGGCATGCTAAACTTAAAGATAATAAATTTCTGTTTGTTAAAGTTAAAAAAAAATATTAGAGCCTTCAGTAAGGATTAGATCTCAACATCAAGAAAACAAAAGTCCTCACAGTTAGAAAACTACTTGCCTAGGAAAGACAATATTTTGTGTATCTTCAAGCTAAAAAATACATTCAGACATTGTTGGTGGAATTATAAAATGGTACAACTGCTCTGAAAGGCAGTTTAGTGTTTCGTCAAAAAGCTAAACATAGAAATTCCATATGATCCAGTTATTCCACTGCTTGGAATATACCCTGAGAAAATGAGAACTGAGGCACAGAGACTTGTACATCAGTTTTTATAGCAGCGTTATCCACCATAGCAAGAAACAGCCCAAATGTCCAACCACAATGGAACAGATTGAGACATTATGGCACATTCACACACTGAAATATTATGCAGCACACAGGAGCAATGATTTTGTAAATTACTACCTAACTTGGGAAGGACTGGAGAGCATTCTAAGTTGGGGGGAGCTGAGGGGTGAGGATGGGGGGATGCTTAATCATAGAGTTGCATAATTTGATGAGTTGAGGGAGGAATGAGGAAAGGAAGGGGAAAGATCCAATGTGAAAAACAATGTATACAAACTTTGTAAGTAAACCAATACAAAATAAAATGTATTAAAAAAAAAACCCAAAGGAAAAAATAAGAAATGCATTCATAGTAACAGCAGTATGTTCCGATTGCTGTATCTGAAAAGCAAGGACTAATGTGATGTTAAAACACTAGTGAGATCAGAGGATGGCATTTTATTATCCTCATTTCATTAATGTTTAATGTTCACAGTTGCTGGGATGAGAGTCAACCACTGCCTAAACTCAGCATTCATAGACCTCCTACAAAATAGATCAGTGTGTTTCTCAGCATTCAGACACCTGGAAACTGTTAGATTAAACCATATTAAATCCCTCAGTTCAGCTGGTTTTGTCTGCAACTATTACCACTTCAAATTTTGAACTATTGTTTATTATAACATACATATAGGTAACAATCCTAAAGCAAGAAACTTCATCTCTTTGTAAAACTATCCAAAATAGAAACTCTTCACTGCTTTGAGCAGATGACTGAACTATAGATGAAAATACTTCTAAAGCTTCTCAGAGAGCTCTAGTGAACTAGTGGAAAGAAACTGTGCTGCAATCCTGAAGGTATGTGGTTCAAATCGACCAGCTTCTCTCTGTGCAAGGGTGGGCAATCTCCCCCAATGAGACATAAAAGCCTGTAATGTTACCTTTTTACGTGAAGGGTCTGTATGCATTGGAATCCTAGCATGTACTTTGTTTTCTTATCATTGCTGGGATTTCTTAATTCTCTTAAAAAGGCAAGGTTTTCTTAGTAGGAAATGTATGTATGCTACCTCCTCCAAAAATAACAGTGACAAACTAACTCATAGTCCGCCAGAAATATTTCTCTAAGATTTTAGTTCACAGAAAGATAATCACCCTTTTGTAAACCTCTAGTGGTATTTAACTGGGGAGAATTGATGTATGGCATGGTAAAACTGCAATCATTTGAGTTGGTTTTTTGAGTAAATTACACAGTCTATTGTGAGCTTGCTGACTTAAATAATTCTTTATAAAGGAGTGCTGTTGACTTAAAGACTTTAACTAGGGACCTTGGTTCTATTGTGGTTAATTGTGTAACCATATGTCCAAAAGATATGCTTTTTATTTAGTTTACTCTAATGGATCTTAGTCTACTATGTAAATAAAGATTCAGAATTTATGGAACTCTTATTTTTTTAACTTGTAGACTATTTAAAGAAAATTCATTTTCAGTGGTTGAGAAAAGCTTTGTGATGTGTCTTAATCTGAATAGAACCACCTTCATAAAGTAAAAGTGTATGTGAAAATATTTCCTCTAAATGCAGACCTTAAGCAAGCAGAAAACATACAATTTCAGGAAGTGTGTGAAATCCTTTATGTGGCTGTTAAAGCTCGTTACAGGATGAACACTGCTTATTAAACACAGAAGCATTATATTAAACAGTTTAACTTCTTTTACATGGTGTTGTTGTTGTGTGATGTCAATTTGAGTACAACTCATAGCAGCCCTCTGATCAGCAGATCTGAACCTTGTGCCACGTTCATCATCTCTGACACACTCGAGCCCAGGAACCGTCACTGGGTCAGTCCATCTCATTGAGGGTGTTTCTCCTCCTTTGCTGACCCTCAGTGTCTGACCAGCACCTACTAGCAACATGTACCAGATCTGTTAGTCAAACTTCACCATCCTTGACTCGAAGGAGTACCCTAGCTGTACTTTCTCCAAGATTTATCTATTCATTCTTCAGGCACTACACAGAATATTCAGTAAACTTCTTCAACATCACAGCTCAAAAGTATCAAATCTTCTGTCATCCTTATCCGTTGTCCATTTCTTAAGTGCATAGTATCTGGGGGAGCATCCGTGAAGTAAAGAGCTGTCCTGCCGACCTAAAAGGCATGCTGTTTGAACCCACCAGCTGCTCCATAGGAGAAAGATGGGCATTCTCCTCCTGTGTGATTTCCTGCCTCTGAAAATCTACTGGAAGGTCAGCTATGAGTCAGTTTCAACTCAATGGTATATAACAACAGCAATAACAAATGTGTAGCTAGTGGCTGGAAAGATCATGCCTTGAATTAGGTGCACATGAGTCTTTAAACTCACATTATTTCTCTACAGAACTCAGAGATCCCTAGCAGCAGACTTTCCCAATGTTATATGTCTCCTGATACTGTCTGCAGGCGCCAAGAGTGTTCATTGTGGATCCAAGTAAAATGAAATCATTGACAATTTCAATCTCTTTTCCATCTATCATGATGTTGCCTATTGGCCCAATGGTGAGGATTTTTGTTTTCTTGATGCTGAGGTAAACCTGTAATGAAGGCTGTAGTCCTTGATCTTCAGAAGCAAGTGCCTTGGGTCTTCCTGACTTCCTGCAAGCAAGATTGTGTCATATGCCTAATGCCACATTCTTCATAAAGTCCAGCTTCTTCAATCATTTGTTCAACATAGAGAGTGAATAGGTACAGAGAAAAAAAATACAGCCCTGACACACAACTTTATTTTAAACCATGCAATGTTCCCTTACTCTTTTTTGAAAACAGCTTCTTGGTCTAGATACAGATTTCCTAAAATCATAATTAAGTGTTCTGGAATTACTATTGATCTCAATGCTAGCCATCGTTTGTTATGATACACACAATCAAATACCTTTGCAGAATCAATCACACACAGATAGACATTCTTCTGGTATTCTCTTGCTTTCAGCCAAGATCCATCTGACATCAGCAATGATACCTCTTGTGCAGTGGCCTATTATAAATCCAACTTGTACTTGTGTTAGTTCTCTATGTGCTGTTCCAGCCTTTTAAAAATAATCTTCAGTGATATTTGCTTGCAAGTGATATTAATGATATTCTTTGATAATTTCCACATTCCACTTGACAGCACACAACAGCAACAGAATCAGAACTGTCTCATAGCTAATTTCACCACGATGTTTCCAAGGCAGTAAATCACATGGGAGGTGATGGCCCATCTGTCTCCCATAGAGAACCTGGTGGATTTGAACTGCCTGCCTTTGTATTGGCAGTGCAACTCCTTTCTTACTAAGATACTGTTGTTGTTGTTGTTGTTCTTTGCCTTCAAGTTGGAACCAACCCACAGTTGGCTGTCCCTCCAGTGGGTTTTCAGAAGCAGTTAATTGCACTGGGAGGAGATTTCCCACTCTGATCCCATAGAGCAGCTGGTGGCTTCAAAACACATGAGGTGAACTTCTTACCACTAAGCCACCAGAGTTCTCTAGCACTCCCTAAAATCTATATTAAGAAGTTTTGCTAGGAGATACTTATTATGTATCAAGGAACACTGGGAGGGTGGTAGATAATACAAAGCAAAACAGCAGTGGTTCAAATTCACCAGCTACCCCATGGGATAAAGAATGGGTAACCTCCTCTACTAAAATGTACAGCCTCAGAATCCCAATGCAGGATCACTAGGAGTTCAACTG